GGGGGGGGGGGGGGGGCTTCACACCTGCCCTCGTGATCAGGTGTCGGTGGGGGGCGTGCCCTACCGCGTGCGGCTCGACACGGCCCAGATCGTCCGCGAGAAGGGAGACAAAGAAGCAGACCAGCAGGCGGTGGACCGGCGCAGTCCTCACAATAGGAGCCGATGCGCCTCAGCCGCGCCGACGAGCAGTCCGACTGGCGGCCTCTCCGCCGCTGGCAGTCGGCTCGGCTCGGCCCGGCGCGTCTCGCGCCCGCCTCTCGCTGCCAGTCACGGCCCCCACCTCTCTGAACCTTCTCGGAGGGTTCACACGCAGGCGCCTCTGGCCAGCCTCCGCTCTGCTGCCCAGTCCTGGCCCGCCGCCGCCGCCGCCTTCGGGGGCGGCTGGGAGGGCGCCCTTCGCGCCGCCCTGACGCCGCTGCTGAGGAGCGCTTCTGGAGCGTGGCAGTGCCCCGCTGTGAACGGCGTCTCTTCACACCTCCTGCTGTGAGCAGGAGCGCCCTCGTCCTCGGCACGGCGTGCGGTCTGCTGCCTCCCTCCGCCTCCACCTCCCAAGGCAGCGAGCGCCCACGAGACTCGATCATCTCTCGTTCACCTGTCGCCCATCCGTCTTCAACAATCGCTCCATCAGGAGAAGAGGGCGACGAGTACGCGCGGCTCGCCTCGCGGCTGCAGCTGCCTCCGCCGCTGGACCTGCTGCGCTCCGTCGCCCATGACCTCTGCGCGATGCTGCGTGCGGGCGTGGGAAGCGGCGGCACGACCGCCCTCCCTGCGCAGCGTCCCGCGCTGCGCTCTTTCTCCTTCACTCCCTCTGGCTGTGAACAGGCTCCCTCCGCGCGGTGCCCGTGCTGCACTCGTTCGACGCTGCACATGCCCGGGACACGTCCGCGACATGTCCGAGACATGTCCTACGTAGGTGCCCGTGCTGCACTCGTTCGACGCGGGCAGCGCCGCCCTCGTCTGCGCGGCGCCCGCGTGCGGCGGAGGGCCGCTCGGCGGGTGCGGCACCTCTCCTTTCCTCGAGCTGCCCCCCTCGTACTCGCAGCTGTACAACATGTACATCCACCGCCGCTGCTCCGTCTGCGGCACACCCGCCCGAAGCAGCCCGCCCCTGCTTATCAGCAATGGCCTCTTAACGAGAAGAGTTGTTAATTAGGCACTTGCCCGAAGCAGCCCGCCGTCTGCCTGCTCTGCGGTGCCATCGTCTGCACAGGCGGCCTGTGCTGGAGACACTTCCTAGACACTTCCTAGACACTTCCTAGACACTTCCTAGACACTTCCTAGACACTGCACAGGCGGCCAGTGCTGCCGCTCCGGCGGCGTGTCCTCGACACGTCCGCGACACGTCCCCTCGCATGCCCGATCAGGCGGCCAGTGCTGCCGCTCCGGCGGGGACGACGAGGTTGTGCAGCACGCGGCGAGCTGCGGGCACGGCGCGTGCGCTTTTGTGGTTGTGCGGACGACGACCACGCTGCTCGTGATCGGGCGGCTGCTCGCGGCGCGGTGCCGTCGAGGCGTGGAGCGGTCGCACCGACCTCGTCGTTGATTGCGGCGGTAGGCGGCAGCACTGCTGGTGGGGTTCGCTCTACCTGGACGTGCACGGCGAGGAGGACCGCAATTTGAGCCGCGGCCGCCCCCTCCTCCTTGCGCCTGGCCGGCTGCGCGAGCTGCAGCAGGTCTGGCGCTCCAACGGGTTGCGCGAGCTGCTCTACAACAACCAGCCGCCCTTCCCGCGCTTGCCACTCATGCTGATGCCCGCGCGCGATTGAGTGGGACGGAGCTGGATGCGATGGATTTAGTTAATTCTGCGTAGAGCTGTCAAACGTGAAGGTTGTTCCCGGCCCAGTGGGGATTTTGGCCACTCCAGTGACCGTCTAAGGGGCCCTAAATGGCCTGCAATGCCATATCTTTTGTGCCTTCTGAAACTACATGTACATGTCATGTAGTTTGTCTTGGAGTGCCAAGTTTCTCGATGAGGTGTGGGGATCCGTGGTGAGCAGGGATTCCCAGATTCTCCAGATTCCCCTCGAAAACCGCGCCTTTTAATTCATTGCGTTGCGGCCGCGGGTTTGCTCGGATTACTTTTCCCTCGCGAAGACCGAAGACAAACTAGTTTTTTGGCGTTCCGGTGCCTACAAAAAAATATCCGAGATCCCATGCATGGAGCTGACGTGCAAAGCATACAAGAAGGGGAGAAGGAAGAGGAGAGACGCCGGTGGTGACGAAGCAGAAACTAGCGCAGACGAGAGCAGGGCAGACCCGGGGACTGGGGAGCCGGAGCGGACGGCATCGGCCGCCGAGGGAACGTTGGGAAGAGGTGCGAGGAGGGCGGCGACAACCTGGTTTGTGGAGCTCCCGCACCTTTCCTAGAGAGCACGGCATTCGGGGCCATGATGTCGGTTCCCCACCGGACTTTTTTTGTAGTGGAGCGAATTAAGGAACCTTTCTGCTGTAACCAACACTGACATCGCTCTCCTCTATTCAGACCAGATGGTGAGTCTTAACTGTAAATTACCGTCAAAAAGCTGTCAGAACGGCTGTCAGAACACTGTCAGAACGTTGTCAGAACGCTGTCAGAACGCTGTCAGAACGCTGTCAGAACACTTTTGTGGGTAGGGTACTGTCAGAACGTTGCCAGCACGCGAGAGCGGGCCAAGTGTGAACATCTGCAAGACGCGAGCGCCGCCGCCTCGCCGATCGCCCCCGCCTTTGCAGGCTCCTTCGCGGGCGCGGCGCCAGGGGGCGGCGGCGCCCGCTCGAGCCCATCCCGCTGATCTGCCTCGGCTGCGGGCACCGCCTGCTCGGCCGCCTGGCCAGGGCAAGGCGAGCGGCGGCTGGGCTGCGGCGAGACCGCACTGCCGACGTTAAGTCTCGCTGCCACTGCTGCTGCTGTTGCTTTGGCGGCGACAAGCGCGTCTCTGCGGCGCGTGTCTCGGAGGAGCAAGGGCCGTTTGGCGGTGGTGCCAAAGGACGGCGCGGCGGCGTCGCAAGCGGCACGTTCGGTCCCTCGTGACCCGAGGCTGCCGTCTTGGAAGCAGCCTTCGCGTCTAACTGGACTGCCGGGCCCGCACATCGCACATTGTGCTGCGGCGCTTCGGCGTGGCTGCTGCCGGGCCGCAGCTTCTTCGGCTCTGTCGCGGGGCTCCAGCCTGCGCCGCAGACCATCGCAAGAGCGCGTTTGCTGCCTCGAGGCCCCGGCATGAGTGGCGGCCTTGGCGTGCTCCTGTCGACGGTTACAGCTGTTTGCGCTCCCGCTGGACGCGGGACAGATGATGACGACACGCACGAGCGACACACAGACACAAAGAGAGGGCCCGGCTAGACCTGCCACCGGAGGCGCACAAAATAGAGGCGATTTGGGCATTTTTTTTACAGTGTTGCGAGAAAAAGAAAAAAAAGACCGGCGCCGCAGGCGCCGGCCGGAGGCCGGGAAGGGATGGGAAAGGAAAAGGAAGGTTATAAGAGAAAAGAGGAAGCTACACAGGTCTCTACTTGCGTGCCTTCCGCTTGCCGAGCGCCTTGTCGGATGCAGCTGGCGAGCTGCGCGTCGAGCGCGAGCCAGACGCCGCTGGAGATGCCGCCGCCGGGGCGTCAGGCGTGCGCCCATTCGAAGGCGAGCGCGCGGCGCGTGCTGGCGCCGCTGGCGCAGCCGGCGGCGCAGCCGCCGCGCGCGGCGCAGCCGCCGCGTGCGGCGCAGCCGCCGCCGCGCGTGCCGCCTCGATCGTCTTGGCCGTGAGCTTGTTGACGCGCGCCTGCGCCACCTCGAGCTTCTCGATGAGCTGCAGCAGCGGCTCGGCGGGCATGAGCGACTTGCGCGCCTCCTTGACCGCGCACGTGTAGTACCCGAGCGCCTGGACGGCCGACTCGAGCGCCTCGTGCGCCTCCACGTTGAACGCCTCGTCGTCGATGAGCGCCGTCTCGTCGTCTGCGCACACGCCGTACGCGCCCGGCAGCGTCTGCTGCAACAGCGACGTGGCGCTCCGCATGAGCGCGGGCATCTCCGCCGAGCCGGCGCGGCCGGCGAGCTCGTGGGCGCGAGGTGCGTGCTCGACC